CGTGGGGGACCCAGATGCCTACAGGGAGAAGCTGGGCCATCGGGCCCGAAGTGAGGGTGACTCTTGCAAAGGTGCACGCAGCAATCATTGTATACTGCACTGGATCGCAAGAAAGCGGGGACTTGGAGACCCATGGGCCTGGGACAACCATTGCTGTTAGCTATGCCCCAATCTAGTGATGTCCTGAGACCCTGCCCCACCCTGAGGCCCGCCCCCCCTGAAGCCTCACTTGCAGATTCTACAGACCTGCTCAGGCACCACAAAGCTACTTTTACATATGAATGGCCTGTATTGAGGCAGCTTAACCATATATAAACTGCAGCTTCAGAAAAACAAACAAACAAAAAAACCGGCCAAGACCCATGCAAACAGGAGAAAACTCTAGTTCTCCCTGTAGCTCCTGAACTGAATCCCATTGGAAATCCAGAAGCCAGTGTTCCTAGTGGTCAATTTCAACCACTCACACCCAGGAGATGGACTCAATGAGCACCAAAGCTCCACTGAAACAAACCATGACTCCAGCGCAGCAGTTTTCCTTTATAGACAGAGCAGGTCCTCACAGACAATTGGCCTGGAGATCAATTCCTCCCAGAGTACCAACAGCAAACAAGGCTTAATTATACCAAGACTTTGCACTCAGCCCACAAAGGAATATACCAAAAGTGACCAGGTGATTGGGGGAGCTTATAGGTCACCTACCACACAAAAGTCACTCCATCAACACAGGAAGGAGACACAGAAACATGTCACGAATGGGAGAGATGGAGGAAAGTAAACTACTGGACGACACAGAGTTCAGAATCACATTTATAAGATTACTCAAGAATCTTCTAAAAACTGCTGAGAAAATTGATGAGACCTCCAAGGAGCTTGGTGAGACCTTCAAAGACCTTTAAGAGAATACCAAAAAAATGGAAAAGGACCAGTCAGAAATTAAGCATACAATCTTTGAAATAAAGAATATACAGAAACTCAACTATAGATCGACATACCCCAAGAATTAAACCAAAGATCTGGAATACAATGAAGAAAAAAATCACCCAACCAGAGAAGCAGAAAGAAAGAAGAATCCAAAAGTGTGAGGATAGTGTAAGGAGCCTCCAGGACTGCTTAAAGCGTACCGACATCTGGATTTTTGGCACCTTTGGGGTGCCAGAGGAGAGCGAGCAGGATATTGAAGGCTTAATGGAAGAAATAATGACAGAAAACTTTCCCTACCTGGTAAAAAAAATAAAAATAAAAATAGACTTACAAGTTCAGGAAGCGCACAGAACCCCAAACAAGAGTAATCCAAGGAGGAACACACCAAAAAACATCATAATTAAAATGCCAAGGGAAAAGACAAAGAGAGAATCTTACAAGCAGCAAGAGAAAAACAGCTAGTTACCTACAAGGGAGTACCCATATGACTGTCAGCTGATTTCTCAACAGAAACTATGCAGGCCAGAAGGGAGTGGCAAGAAATATTCAAAATGATGAACAACAAGAACCTACAACCAAGACTACTCTACCCAGCAAAGCTATCATTCAGAATTGAAGGTCAGATAAAGAGCTTCACAGACAAGAAAAAGTTAAAGGAGTCATCAACACCAAACCAGGATTACATGAAATACTGAAGGGTATTCTTTAAGGAGAGGAAGAAGAAGAAAAGTAAAGGTAAAAATTACGAACAACAAAAAGACATAAAATACATACCTACCAACAAATGAATCTAAAAATCAAGTGAATAAAAAATCTGAAGAACAAAATGGACTGGTAAACATAATATAACTGGGGACATAGAAAGGGATTGGACTAACAATTCTCAGGGGGAAGGGAATCTGAGGGGTGAGGGAAGAGATTGGACAAAAATCCTACACCTATTGCCAGGACCGGTTTAGCTCAATGGATAGAGCATTGGCTTGGGGACTGATGGGACCCGGGTTCGATTCCGGTCAAGGGCATGTACCTTGGTTGCGGGCATATCCCCAGTAGGGGGTGTGCAGGAGGCAGCTGATCGATGACTCTCTCTCATCGATGTTTCTAACTCTCTATCTCTCTCCCTTCCTCTCTGTACAAAATCAATAAAATATATTTAAAAAAAAAATCCTACATCTATGGATGAAACAGGGGCGGGGGAAAGGGCATGGGGTGGAGTTGGGATTCAGGTGGAGGGGAGCTATGGGGGAAGAAGGGGGAAAGAGGAACACCTGTAATAAACTAAACAATAAAGATTTATTAAAAAAAAAAGAATGAGTCAACAGTTAATTTTTTATATTTCTTTTTTTAATTATTATTATATGTGTACATATTAAACATTGCCCTCCCCCCTCCCATACAGTCCCTCCCTCCCCAGAGTTTTGTGTCCATTGGTTGTACTTATATGCATGTATATAAGTCCTTCGGTTGATCTCTTATCTACCCCAGATCTCCCTCCCCTCCCCGCTGTAATTTGACAGTCTGCTTGTTGCTTTACTGTCTTTATATCTGTCTTTTGGTTCATCAGTTTATAATGTTCTTAATATCCATAAATGAATGAGGTCATGTGGTATTTCTCTTTCATTGACTGGCTTATTTCACTCAGTATGATGTTCTCCAATTCTATCCAGGTTGCTGCAAATGATGAGAATTCCTTCTTTTTTATGGCAGCATAGTATTTGTACTATGTACCATAGTTTTTGGATCCAATCATCTGCTGACAGGCACCTAGGCTGTTTCCATATTCTAGCTATTGTAGATTGTGTTACTATGAACATAGGGGTGCATATATCCTTTCTGATTGGTGTTTCTAGTTTCTTGGGATATATTTCTAGGAGTGGCATTCCTGGGTCAAATGGGAGTTCCATTTTAAGTTTTTTGAGGAAACTCCATACTGTTCTCCACAGTGGTCTGCATTCCCACCAGCAGTGCAAGAGGGTTCCTTTTTCTCCGCAACCTTGCCAACACTTGTCATTAGTTGATTTGTTGATGGCCATTCTGACAGGTGTGAGATGGTACCACATTGTTGTTTTGATTTGTATCTATTGGATAATTAGTGACTTTGAGCATGTTTTCATGTGCCTCTTGGCCTTCCTTCTGTCTTCTTTTGAAAAGATTCTATTTAGGTCCATTGCTCATTTTTTAATTGGATCATTCATTTTCCTTTTATTTAGTTGTATAAGCTGTCTATAGATGTTGGAGATTAAACCTTTCTCAGTGATAACATTTTCAAATAAGTTCTCCCATACAGTGGGCTTTCTTGTTTTGTTGATGATTTCTTTTGCTGTGAAAGAGCTTTTTATTTTGATGTAGTCCCATTTGTTTATTTTCTCTTTAGCTTCCATTGCCCTAGGGGCAGTATCAGTGAAGAAGCTCTTTTGGCATATGTCTGAGATTTTGCTGCCTGTGGATGCCTCTAGTATTTTTATGGTTTCCCGTCTTATGTTTAAGTCCTGTATCCATTTTGAGTTTATTTTTGTGTATGGTGTAAGTTGGTGATCTAGTTTCATTCTTTTGCATGTATCTGTCCAATTTTCCCAACACCATTTATTGAAGAGACTGTCTTGACTCCATTGTATATTCATACCTCCTTTGTCTAATGTTAATTGAGCATAGTGATTTGGGTTGATTTCTGGGTTCTTGATTCTATTCTATTGATCTATATGTCTGTTCTTGTGCCAGTATCAGGCTGTTTTGAGAACAGTGGCTTTGTAATACAGTTTGAAGTCTGGTATTGAGATCCCTCCTACTTTACTCTTCTTTCTCAGGATTGCTGTGGCTATTCGGGGTCTTTTATTGTTCCAAATGACTTTTGGATAGTCCTTTCTAGGTCAGTGAAATATGCCGTTGGTATTTTAATGGGGAGTGCATTGAACCTATAGATTGCTTTAGGAAGTATAGACATTTTGATGATGTTGATTCTACCAATCAATGAACATGGTATGTTCTTCCATTTGTTTACATCTTCCTTTATCTCTTTTTTCAGTGTCATGTAATTTTCCAAATATAGGTCCTTTACTTCCTTAGTTAAGTTTATTCCTAAGTATCTTAAATTTTTTTAGTGTGATGGTAAATGGAATTGCTTTTTTAGTCTCTGTTTCTGTACGTTCACTGTTGGTGTATAGAAATGCCATAGATTTCTTGGCGTTAATTTTGTATCCTGCTACATTGCCAAATTCACTTATTAAGTCAATTCGTTTTTTAATGGAGTCTTTTGGGTTTTTTATGTACAATATCATGTCATCTGCAAAGAAGGATAACTTTACTTCTTCTTTTCCAATTTGGATGCCTTTTATTTCCTCTTCTTGTCTAATTGCAATGGCTAGTACTTCCAGTACTATGTCAAAGAGGAGTGGCGATAGTGGGTATCCCTGTCTTGTTCCTGTTCTTAGAGGGAATGGTTTTAGTTTCCACTCTATCAATTCAGGGAAGCAGCCAAAATGCAGAGACAAAGAAACAGGTCACAAATTAAAGAAATAGAGGAAAGCAAATGACTGGATATAGAGTTCAAAACCATGGTTATAAGGTTTTTCAAGAATTTTCTTTAAAAGGCTGATTAATTTAGCGAGATCCTCAAGGATATGAAAAAGAACCAACTAGAAATTAAGCATACACTGACTAAAATAAAAAATAGTATACAGAGATTCAACAGTAGACTAGAGGATCGCAAGAATCAAGTCAAAGATTTGAAATATGGATGCCCCAGAGCGAAGAAGGAAGTGAAGGCACCAGGCTTTGGGTTCCTGGCAGGCTAGGCTTGCTGAGGTAGAGGCTGCAGCTAGTGGAGGCCTTAGCCGCCACTCAGGATCAGGGATGTCAAAGAACAGGGTTTTGTCCACCCTGTTCCAGAAGGTGGACGTGGATGAGTAAGATGAGAACAAGTTCGTGGTCAAGAAAGATGGGGGTGATGGGCCAATCAGGCCCGACAAGGGCAAGGTGGACTCTGGCCTGTGGCAAGGAAACATGATAGCTGCCCTGCAGGCATCCCTGAAACCCCCAAGAGTCAGGTGGTGAAGGATTGGGTAGGCAGCATTGTCTTGAAGATGCTCATCTCCTTTAAAGCTAATGATATTGAAAAGGCAGTTCAGTCCCTGGACAAGAATGGGGTGGATCTCCTCATGAAGTATATTTATAAAGACTTTGAGATCCCCTTTGACAATAGCAACACTGTGTTATTGCAGTGGCATGAAAAGGCACTTGCTGCTGGAGGAGTGGGGTCCATCGTTCGCGTGTTGACTGCCCAGAGAACCGTGTAGTCCAGCAGGAACTGGGTTTCTCTTATAGGTGTGGGAGTTCCTGGTAAAAGATCAAAACAACCAAATGCCACCACTGCCTTTTGGGTAGCATCTCTCAGCTTTGCCTTTTTGCTTCCTCTTTCACATCTGTAAAGAAGAAAACTACATATCCATTTCCTTTCATGAAAATTGGGATAACATATAGGCATTTTTTCAACAGGTGTTCATGTTGTCAGAACTATTTCAGTGATTATGTATACCAGTTTGTACATAGTATAATTTACATTTAGGTTTAACCACCTCTACTGGTTGGTGGTTTTTTTGTTTTGTTGTTGTTGGTGTTTTTGGTGTTTTGTTTTTTACTAATAGTGATAAATTTGATGAGAATTTGATACAGACTTCCTAACTCATTGCTAGCCAGAAAATGTCCTTATAAAAATATGTTTGAGAGACTGGCAGCTGTTAACATTACAAAACTGGACCATACTTCCCTTATTTAAGCAAAATGTGTTTCTGGAACAAGTGGTAGGTTAACACCATTACCAAATTCCAGCTTTGTGTCTGCCTCCAGATTATGTGAGTTTAAGTATCTCCTCCTCTCAACACCCAGCGATAATGGCCTCTAGATTTATTTGTGGTCACCAGGATCCAGAGCAAGAAGTCTTGCTTGACACTAATGTTCCATAAAATACCAGAGCCTGTTGGGCTTTAGCATAAAACTTTTGTTCCAATAATGTGGCCCTACTTGAGAAAACTACTCCACATCAGAAAGGACATGGAAACTGCGATGTAGTTCAAACTCTGGTCAGCCTCTGGAAGAAATGCTGTTTTCCTTAGAACTATAGTAGCTGCCTTAACCTGATACGGTATAGAACCAATATTTAATATGCCCTATAAATGTCTTCAGTGTTCTTCAGGGTAATTAGGATCTCAAAAGATTTGGTTCAGATCAAACACACCCCATTGAGTGTGTTTGATAAAGAAGAAAATGCCACATAGCAAAAAGTGTTTACTTGTTGGACAAACCAAATCAGTTCTCAAAAAAAAAATGACCGGTGCTTATAAAAAGTTATTATTCAGTAGCTCCACCTGAGTGATCAAGAGGAAAATCAGCTTGCGCTTCGTATTTACATTGGACACTGTAATCACTGACTTATGTGAAAACTGGTGCAGAAATCCTGTGAACTCTTTGCTGTTTTTAATACTGCCTTTTGTTTTGTAAAAATTATAAAGTTGAAAAAAAAATGATTTGAATTAAAAAGAGCAAAAAAACACCTAACCGGAAAAGCAAAAGGAAAAAAGAATCCAAAAATATGAAGATAGTGTAAGGAGCCTCTGGGACAACTTCAAGCTTACCAACATCAGAATTATGGGGGTGCCAGAAGAAGAGAGAGAGCAAGAGACTGAAAACTTATTTGAAGAAATAATGCCAGAAAACTTTTCCCTCCTGGTGAAAGAAATAGACTTATAAGTCCAGGAAGCACACAGAACCCCAAATAAAAGGAATCCAAATAGGACCACATTATATTTAAAATGCCAAGAGCAGCAGAAGCCGGTTTGGCTCAGTGGTAGAGCATTGGTCTGTGGACTGAAAGGTCCCAGGTTCAATTCTGGTCAGGGGCATGTACATTGGGTTGCAAGCACATCCCCAGTAGGGGGTGTGCAGGAGGCAGCTGGTTGATGTTTCACTCATCGATGTTTCTAGCTATCTCTCTCCCTTCCTCTCTGTAAAAAATCAATAAAATATATTTTTAAAAAATAAAAAATAAAAAAATGCCAAGAGCAAAAGACAAAGAGAGAATATTAAAAGCAGCAAGAGAAAAACACCCATATGACTTTCAGTTGATTTATCAACAGAAACTATACAGGCCAGATGAAAGTGGCAAGAAATATTCAAAGTGATGAAAAGTAAGATTCTACAACCAAGATTACCTACCCAGCGTAGCTATCATTCAGAATTGAAGGTCAGATAAAGAGCTTCACAGATAAAAAAAAAAAAAAAAAAAAAAAAAAGCTAAAGGAGTTCATCACTGCCATACCAGTATTATATGAAATGCTGAGAAGTATTCTTTAAGAAGAGAAGGAAGAAGAAAAAGGTAAATATAAAAATTATAAACAACAAATACATATCTATTTATAAGTGAATTTAAAAACCATGGGAATAAAAAATCTGATGAACAGAATAAATTGGTGGATATAATAGAATCAGGGGCATAGAAAGGGAGTGGATTGACAATTCTCTGGGGGAAAGGGATGTGGGGTGTGAGGGAAGAGACTGGACAAAAATCATACACCTATGGATGAGCACAGTATGTGTTTGTGGAGGGTAAGGGCAAAGGGTGGGATGGGAACCGAGTGGAAGGGAGCTATGGGGGGAAAAGGAGAAACAATAGTAATAATCTGAGCAATAAAGATGTATTTAAAAAATAGCAATTTTTCCTTTTGGGTAAAAAAATAAAATAAAACACTACCACCAATAGTCAGGAGACATTACTTCATGGTGGTTAAGAATACATGCTTTGGGACCTCGTTCCAAGATGGCTGACAGGTAAACACTTAGCTGCAGCTGCACACAACAATTTCAATAAAATACAAATAAAATATAAAATGGACATTACCCAGAACTACAGGAAAGTCGACTGACTGGAAATTCTACAACGAGAAGCAAGGAGAAAACCAGAAGGAAGCACGAAGGAGATGTAGAAGCCTAACGTACAGAGATGCACAGCGCACACGGAGAGGACGGAGCCAGAAAGGAGGGAGGCTGAGTGTCTGGCTGGCGTTCCCAAGTGGGAAGGAGATAAATCTCCAACTGTGCTGGGCCCCAGTTCTGACTGCTCTGAACCCCAGTTCTAGGCCAGACCCCGGGGACTCGGGCTCACACAGAGGGAGCTGGGCTGCGAGGTGGAACCCGGGGAAGTGGCAAAAGGAGGTCCCGGCGGCGCGCACATTGCACGCAGAGAAGGGATGGTTGGCTGTGCTGTGGGATTGCCCTGGTGGGAAGGAGACTGGGGCTCCAGACTGCTCTGAACGCCACCTCCAACTCCACTTCCAACTGAACTGAACCCGAATACCGGGCTCATTGGGGGAGAGCATAGACTGTTTGGCAGCAGGCAAAAATTGAGGGCACCTTTCTCTCAGAGGCGCTTGCAACTAGTACTGAAGGACCCGCATAGAGCGGGGCTGATGGAAGCCAAAGTGGCAGGCTTCACCCTGAAACCCCGCCCCATCCAAGCAGAACACAGAGACTTTTAAGGCTACCAACTCAGGAAAGCTGCGAAATTGCCGAGACGAAATAAATCACAAACGAAAGAAATGGAGGACAAAAAGCGACTGGATATAGAGTTCAAATCTACGCTTATAAGGTTTTTCAAGAATTTCCTAGAAAAGATGGTTAAGACCTATGAGGATATGAAAAGGGATCAACTAGAATTAATAAGGAATCAACAAGAAATGATAAGGGATCAACAAGAAATGATAAGGGATCAACAAGAAATAAAGAATACATTGTCTGAAATAAAAAATATTATACAGAGTCCTAAAAACAGAATGGAAGATCGCAAGAATCAAGTCAAAGAGTTGAAACATAAAGAGCCAGAAAACACTCCTCCGCAGAAACTAGAAGGCAAGAGAATCCAGAAAATTGAAGATAATGTAAGAAATCTCTGGGACTACTTCAAGCGAACCAACATCAGAATTATGGGGGTCCCAGAAGATGAGAGAGAACAAGATATCGAAAACATACTGAAAGAAATAGTGACAGAAAACTTCCCCCACCTGGTGAAAGAATTAGACTTACAAGTCCAGGAAGTGCACAGAACTCCAAACAAAAGGAATCCAAAGAGGACCACACCAAGACAAATCATAATTAAAATTCCAAGAGCAAAAGACAAAGAGAATATTAAAAGCAGCAAGAGCAAAGCAGGTAGTTACCTATAAAGGAGCACCTATACGATTGTCAGCTGATTTCTCAACAGAAACCATGCAGGCCAGACGAGAATGGCAAGAAATATTCAAGGTGACAAATAGTAAGAACCTACAGCCACAGATAATCTATCCAGCAAAGCTATCACTCAGAATCGAAGGCCAGATAAAGAGCTTTACTAATAAAAAAAAGGCTAAAGGAGTTCATCAACACCAAACCAGAATTATATGAATTGCTGAAGGGGGTTCTTTCAGAAGAGAAAGTAAATAAAGATAAAAATTATGAACAACAAATATGTAACTATCAACAAGTGAATCTAAAAACCAAGGGAATTAAAAAAATCTGATGAACAATATTAACTGTGGAATATAATAGAATCAGAGGTATGGAAGGGGAGTGAAATGACGATTCTTGGGGAAAAGTGGAGAGGGGGGTGTGGGACGAAACTGAATATAAACTGTGCACCTATGGATGAGGACAATGGGGAGTGGGGAAAGGGCATTGGGTGGGGTGGGAACCTGGTGGAGGAGAGCAATGGTGGGCGGGGGAGGAACATTTGTAATAATATGAACAATAAAAATTTATTTAAAAAAAAAGAATACATGCTTTGTCTTGGATGGTATGGCTAATTGATTAGCGTATCGGCCAATTTCTGGTCAAGGGCAAGTACCTGGGTTTCGAGTTCAATCTCTACCCCAGTGGGGGAACCTTCTCTCTTACACTGATGTTTATCTCTCTCACTCTCTCTCACACCTCCTTTCTCCCTCCTTTGCACTGTCTCTAAAAATCAATGGAAAAAATATCTTTGGGTGAGAATTAAAAAAAAAAAAGAGTACAAGTTCTGGATCAGTAAATCTACATATAAACTGAGTCAGTTACCTAACTTGGGCAACTCACAGCTTCAGTTTTTTTTGTTGTTGTTGTTTTTTTTTTTACAGCCTCAGTTTTTTCATCTCTAAAAGGGAGATGGCACCACCACTACTACTACCACTACTAATAATTATAATATTAAATTATAATATTATTGTTTAATTAATAATATTAAACAATAAATGAAAGGGGGATGATAATAGTATCTACCTTATGGTTTATAATG